CTCAATATTTGAAATAACTAAGTCACACAAAGATACCTGAAGGTGAACCGCTGTTTTTATTGGATGTTTATTAATCCATGTGACTCTGTCATAAACTGTGAATATTTATTTATTGACATCTATTTACATATTTCTCTATTTTTTGCTCTATGTATTTACACAGATAAGTATATAAATTTAATACACATCTCATTTTGATACCTATACTTGCGTCTTGGCGAGTTCACTTACTGTATTATATTACAGTTTACACCTAAAACAAAGGGTATACTTACCTGGGGTGGTGACATCCCTTTATTGTAGGTCCAATGACAGCATCCATCCCTTCGTGGTACTAGGGATGGATGGAACCATTAACGGTTTGACGATAAATCATGATAAAATTCCCCAGTTAGTATTATCGTGTCATATTTTAATTATCATTAAAACCGTATTTGATTACTGCGATTTGAACAACTGAGGATAAATAAATAATATCCAGCATAAAACAGAATTTTAAGTAACAGTCTCACGTGCGCACGTACAGCATGCAGAGTAGCTTCGTTTTATGTGAAAAGTTTTAGTTTTTAGTTTAAAAGAGTGCTAAGGGAATTATAAAAATGTATGTATGAATTAATTAATTAATTATATGAATGTACCTCAGAAGGTTCTGATTGTCTTCAGAAAATAATAGATGGCATTTTGTTTTCATCTTTGCTCCATGTAATACCTAAATATGGTGTTCTTAAGCCCGTCCTAATCGGGCTTGCACTTCTGCTTTGTCCATGGATGTCCCCTCCCCTCCAAACAGCTCTAACTGCTGTTGCATAAGCGCCACCTAGTGTCAGAGTGGATTTACAGAGACTTACATTTGCATTCAGCCTATATGCAGTTTTTGTCTGGCCAAAAAACATACAGAATTTGCATGCCCTGCTGTAAATTGACCAATTGATGAAAAAACAAGCCTATGTGAATTCTACACATTGAAACAATTCGGCTAAGGTATCAAGAATTATTTATGGAGCAGATCAGCTATCATTTTTGATTTACAGGCTGAAATGTGAGCTTTACCATTTTATGAAACCTTTTCAAAGTTTTATTTGAACATTTCATGCATGTTATTAGATAGACTTGTCAGTCATGTTGTCATTTTAAAATCCGGACATCATTGGTAATGTTACTGTTTTAGTGTTTATGCAAACAAAAAGTCATTTTATTTGTTGTTGATTTTAAATCGGCACATTTTACCAATACCGTGACAATACTGATAACTGATCGTTTTGGTCACAATACATTTTCATACTGTTACATCTCTACCTGTAACACCCAGATAAACCATAGCTTAGCTCATAAGTAAAGTTAATACTAGCGAGACCCAGCTAACAATTTTTGGTTCCCGGAAAGTTCCCAAGAACGTTCCCTGTTGGTTAGCCAGGAAAGTTCTTACCGTAAATAGAACATTCCCTTTAGGTTAGGGGAACGTTCCAGGAACTTTCAGGGTATGTTTCCAGAATGTTCTCTGTAGGTTACGGGAACATTCCCCTAACCTAAAGGTAACGTTCTATTTACGTTCCGAGAACGTTCTCCTAACCCAGTGTTTCTCAACCCTGGTCCTGGGTGCCCCCCAGCACTGCACATTTTGTATGTCTCCCTAATCAAACACACCTGATTCAACTCATTAGCTCATTAGAAGAAACTGCAGGACCTGAAATGGGTGTGTCAGATTAGGGAGACACACAAAATGTGCAGTGTTGGGGGGCACCCAGGACCAGGGTTGAGAAACACTGTCCTAACCTCTTTACTCTGATACCGCTGCTGTACGTCAGTCCAGCGCCCCGCGTCTAGTAAACGGCATGGAAGACGGACGGATATCCTCAATCTGTACTACAAACCATGTCTTGTTTTAAACTATTGTTTAATCATTAAAGATAATCAGAGCACATTTAACCATCATAAAGAGCATTAAATGAGATTGAATTATCCGTTCTTTATTATAACTACCATGTACAATATAATAACCCAGATTTTACGCCTCTTAAGCACCAAATAACAATGACTTTAAAAATGTCAATTTTATTTTTCCAGACATTTAAAAATGAATAACATTTATTTGACTTTAAGTAGGATAACATTACATTAATTTCTTACCACTGAATTAACGATGATGTGCTTCTCTCTTTTGGTCAGTAAAAAAAAAACACTCGGTTAATTCAATTAGACGTGTCAAATCTCTCTGAAATCACAATATTTACTCTCGTATATATTAATTATAAGTATTTATTCAATAAAGAGCTCAATAAACGAATGCTAATCAGTCAGTAAAACGAAATGACCGTTCATTTTTTTTAATTATGCGTGTGCGCGGCTTTGTGGAAGACAGGAGAAAAGCGCGTGCTGGAGAAGAGGTGCGCAGTAAAGAAAGATACAAACAAACCCAGTGTTTATGCTATGCTTTTCAGACTACACTTAACCTTGGCTTAATTTCAGCTATAAAGTTGTAATTATATTATAATGCGATTTGACTACTTGACTACACTTTATTAAAAGCTTATTTCAGACATGAAATTCTGCAAAAATAGTTTGATTAAAAAATACACATTTCAGCATTAGAATAATCAGAAACATCTGCAAAGTTTTAATTAGTTTACATGGTTATGACACCTAAAGAACCTGCAGGGAACGTTCTCTCTAGGTTATGAAAAAATCTAAAAAATAACCTACAGGGAACGTTCCCTTTATTTGATAAAAATAAAATTAAAAATAACCTACAGGGAACGTTCTGGGAAGGTTCTCTTTAGGTTATAAAAATTAAACCTAAAAATAACCTGCAGGGAGCGTTCCCTTTAGGTTCTTAAAGGGGTCATATGATGCTGCTAAAAAGAACATAATTTTGTGTATTTGGTGTAATGAAATGTTTATGCGGTTTAAAGTGGAAAAAAAAAAACATTATTTTCCACATAGGCTACTGTACATTATTGTTTCTCCTCTATGCCCCACCTTTCTGAAACGCGTCGATTTTTACAAAGCTCATCGGTTTGAAAAAGCGAGGTGTGCTGTGATTGGCCAGCTATCCAGTGCGTTGTGATTGGCCGAATACCTCAAGTGTGTGACGGAAATGTTACGCCCCTACCATACTGTGATGTCGTGTCCCGGCTGGAGCGACGAGACAAAAACATTAAAACCCATTACAAACGAGGCATTTGTTGCATCCAGTGGGGACATAATTACTGATTATAATGACTTGTACTGTCTTTTTACGCGTTGCGTTGCATTGCATCGCGCCGCGGAAACATAAAACTCTGTCTGCATTTGTGATCAGAGAAATGACAAACAGCAAGTACTACTCTACACTGCCCAAAACTCGCGTTTGAATCATCAGTGGCAAATCCTTTAAATGAAAACATACTTACAGACTGCGAGTCAGAACTGCCGGCGTTGTAGTCAACTCTCCCAGGATCAGTAAACCGTCCTCCATAAAATGTGCTGCACACATCTGGATATTTGGGTTAAACTGTTCTGGAACAGTGTTGTAAATACAACTTAACCACTGATTTCTAGTCGTGTCGGGTGTGTTAGAACGAGCCGTTTTAGGTAGGTGTGGCTGACTCTTAACTTTTATAAAGAATATCTCTTTAGATTTGAGACTTTAGTGTTTGCAACTTTACAGATCTTCTTTATGCACCAAGAGCTTGTAACACTCCAAAGAGAAAGGCAAAATTGAAATCGCATCGTATGACCCCTTTAAAAAAATAACTTGGAGGGAACGTTCCCAGAACGTTCTTATTTGGTTCCCAAAAAAATAACCAAATGGGAACCTAATGGGGACGTTTGGGGAACGTCCTGTGTTTGTTGGGGAAGCAATAAATTGAAACATTTGTAGAGATATTACCAGAACCCGGTGCCCCACCCTAACAGTACTGGGGATAGGTAAATCCTAGGAGGGTATAGGGGGCGCTACACACAACTAGTAGCCTACTTGTTAGTTTTTGCATCATCATTAAATATCAGTAAACATGCAGTGGTATGAATTACACAGAAACTTCAGACGGAAATGATTAGTACAAATTATGTCAGATTGACAACTTATCAGTTCCTCATACCTTTTCCATTTCTTTGGCAGTGTCTCCTCGAGCTCCCAAGTAGACCATGCTGAGCGCTGCGCTGATGCTCAGTGGGGAAAAGAACGTTTCCCTCAGCGTTGCTCTCGCTCAGAGTCGGATAGAGATCCAGAGCGAAGAGACTGTTAGCACGAGAGAGACCCTCCATGACTGATGACACTGCTGCAAATAAAAACCACCAAACCAGCTGCGATTAAAATAGTTTATGCAACCATCTTGCAAAACACTGTTAGGCGCCACGAGTGTAAATGTAGCATTTTACGTTTCTTAAGGATGTCCTCTCGCAGTGATTCGTTTGTCCTGTTCTTTGGTTCGACAGCTCAGGCCGGTTCACTGCTGTGCCCAACTGCACACGTTTATAAAGTATTGTAACGTGTTTAAAATGTTCACTGCATTTTTAAAAGCTGTTATCATAAAAATAGCACTGTTTAATGTTGTAATGACGCTCTTGATGTATTTTGTTGAGGAAGCCCCGCCCTGTGTGTTTCCGCAGTTTCAAGTTCTCTGGTGCAAGCCGTGTAAACAAATCCTTTGTCATAACCCATCTCATCATTGATTGATGAATCTTGGTCTTAAAAACATGTCTTTTTTTTTTATTTGTTGAAGGGTAGTTATGCTTTTATTTAAAATTTAAACGGGAAAAACACAACACATTTTGTGCTCTACTTGTGTGCTGTTTTACCCTTTTTATTTATTTTTTAATCTACAACTACCAAAGACAAACATACAATTCAAAGATAATTTTCAAAACACTGATGTGGTTAAAGGTAGATTCCCTGACTTTCCTAATGCCATGTGTGAAGACAAGAACAAATGTATATGTTGTTTAGTTTATTTATTTGATACAATATTCAGACAAAAACACAATTCTTCATTTGGGTGTAACACATTTCTAGGATGGACCTCTGAATCTGCCAAGGAAGAGGATGCTGTTAGTGGGGTTGTGCCTGATGAAGAACATGAAGGGGTGATCTGCTGTGAAATTCTGAAACTCTAGTCGACGGGACGCACAGGCACGCAAACAGACTGCAGTGGCTGCTGCTGCCTCCGTGCCTTCCTCATTCACCTCAACAAATGCTTTGTGGATCACTGCTGAAATGAAGAGCCCACACTGACTGCTCATGCCTGTCAGATCAGCCTTTTTTTCCTGGAACACAGAGCTCATACCCATCTTTTGCAGTATTTCTGATAGGGAGCTCTCAACCTCCAGCTTGAACTTTGGCAAATGGACTCTGATATCCATCCTCATGGCCATTTTGTCTCTTTCAGTCCAGTCAAGCAGCTTGTCAAGTGTCAACTCGCTCTCCAGCTGTTTAACACACACACACACACACACACACACACACACACACACTGAAAAATAACATACACAAAACCAGACCTATTCCACAGGATCAAAACGATCAGAAAAAGATTAATAAAGGCAATTTTACTCACTTTCAGAAGAGGGTCAGAGCCATCCTGAGTTTCGTTTGGAAGAAGGATCAACATGTGGAGCTCCTCCTGTTTATATGGTAACTCCAGCACCTGCAGTTCATACTCTGGGATGTATCTGAAGGGGAACTTTTTATTCTGATACATCATTTGCACAGGCTGGCTCTCATTCTGATTGAAGACAAAATTCATTAAATCAAAATATGCATAACATATAAAATTGGTTAATGCATGTGTGGGTGTTGGAAGAGTTACTTACAAGTAACTCTTGCAACAGTGGGTAAGCACTATCAATTGCAAAAGGTTTTAAAAGTTAATTCCAATTTGCTTATGCTGTTCCACTCCTAAAACAAAAGGTGGAAAGTACCTGGTTTATTTTAAATGGCATTTCTTTAGTTTCTCTTGCTTTAAATGTGTGCATCCAGTTCCCTTTGAAGTAGATGGCATTAACCAGAACTAGTCGAGTCATTCCCGTCACCATTCCCGGCTTGAGAAGATCTTTGATTTTATCTGAAAAACACAAGTGTTGCTGCTCATTTTATGTTTTTAAAAAAGAGATAAAATGTGTACATGTATCAAGTCCAAAATTATTATTTCAAATCTAATTGGTTTTTATTTGTTGAAGAGCTGATGGTGCTGATCTTCTCACTCTCTGTCTGCTCTTCCACCCATTTGTTAATGAGCTGTCGTGACTTGTCAGATGCTCCAATGAAGTCCACAGCCTGAAGGTCCGTGTGGTACAGCTTCAGAGTGGAGTCCAAATACTCCTGCAGCACAAAATAAAGATGGTGTCTCAGATCACACAGACAGCAGCAATATAGAAATCCTGGCCAGGACGCGTCCTGGAAAAATGGCACCTATGGTCACCCTAATTAACCCTCAGTGGGTTATGCCGAGTTCACACTGCGCGATTTTCAAACTCGTCGGATCGCCGTTGTTTTCACACTGCGTGACTATCTGGGGTAGCATTCAGTTGCTGCTGTGTTCACATTGCACGATGAATCGGCGACAGGGGGTTTCACACTGCATGACTTCACAATAGGAAGAATCGCCGACAGCTCTGTCTGGTCCGCAAATGATTTTATCTGAAAAACACAAGTGTTGCTGCTCATTTTATGTTTTTAAAAAAGAGATAAAATGTGTACATGTATCAAGTCCAAAATTATTATTTCAAATCTAATTGGTTTTTATTTGTTGAAGAGCTGATGGTGCTGATCTTCTCACTCTCTGTCTGCTCTTCCACCCATTTGTTAATGAGCTGTCGTGACTTGTCAGATGCTCCAATGAAGTCCACAGCCTGAAGGTCCGTGTGGTACAGCTTCAGAGTGGAGTCCAAATACTCCTGCAGCACAAAATAAAGATGGTGTCTCAGATCACACAGACAGCATCAAAATGAATCATTACTGAAGGCAGAATAAACGCACAGGTAAGAAGCTGAAGGTTTTCTCTCCATAGAGGCGGTTGGCCAATTTGAGGATGTAGGAGGTTGATGGTCTGTTGATAGTTGAGGTGAGGGTCTCAAAATGAGAGTGAACATCAGAGACAGAACTGAAGGACAAAACCTACAAAGAGAGGGACAGATGGATAGATCTCACATATCTGATTAAATTAAGTTCGTTAATGTACTAAAAACTGAAGACTAAAATGAATAGCGCCAATGGTAACGTATTTATTCATCATACCTTTTCCATTTCTTTGGCAGTGTCTCCTCGAGCTCCCAAGTAGAGCATGCTGAGCGCTGCGCTGATGCTCAGTGGGGAAAAGAACATGTTTCCCTCAGCGTTGCTCTCGCTCAGAGTCCGATAGAGATCCAGAGCGAAGAGACTGTTAGCACGAGAGAGACCCTCCATGACTGATTACACTGCTAGAAACACCAAAACAACAATTGTGAGTATTATAGCCTACTTTATGCAACCTTCTTTCAAGTCACTAAGTATAATTGTATTTTACTTTTATTAACGATGTCCTTTCGGCATAATTCCGTTGTCCTCTTCGTTGGTTCGACAGCTTCCCCTGTATATGTAGGCTGCGCGTTCAAAATATTCACTTGATGTTCTAAAAGATGTAGTTATCTTGAAAATGTTCAATAAGAATGCGTTTAATAGTGCGCTGCATTGATTTGGTGTTGTTGTTGCTGTATGTCGGGTGGAGTGTTGTCTGGAGAGGGCTCCGCCACGTGTGCTGTTAGGATGTCTGCAGAACGAAAAGGGCGTTTCTCAAATAGTAGGCGTTTTTCAACCGATAGGCCTACATGAGTTGCGACAATAGTGTCCGTCCACCTCTACAATTAACCTAGGGTGACCATACGTGCCATTTTCCCAGGACGCGTCCTGGCCAGGATTTCTATATTGCCTAAAATATCTACTCGTCGGATCGCCGTTGTTTTCACACTGCGTGACTATCTGGGGTAGCATTCAGTTGCTGCTGTGTTCACATTGCACATTGGATCGGTGACAGAGGGTTTCACACTGCATGACTTCACAATAGGAAGAATCGCCGACAGCTCTGTCTGGTCGAGAAGGGTATAACTGCAGCCTGGAGATCTCCAAATGGGGGTGGGAGCTCCAAACTAGGGCGTGGCTTCCTCCAATTGACAGACAGGCACATGACACCCATGCGCAATATTCTCCCCCAATCCACTTCAGTGCAAACTCCGCCCCACAGCTGATTCTAAAGATTTTATTGGTTGTCAATTAAGGTGTTGATTTCCTATACTATGCTACAAAAATGCTTCAGGAGATAAACGGTTAATAAGATTATGCGATATGAGATAGTTCCATAACTCCCCAACCGGACCTCACTGGACAATGGCACCTTTTTAGTTACACCCAGCGTCGCTACCCCCTCCTACCCTAAGAATTTCGAGCCATGGGACGCCCCCGTTGCTTGGAACAAAGCCATAGAGTAAAATCGTTCCCCTGCACTGCGCTGGGACGGCTCGCGGGAGAGCTTGTGGGTGATTCCCGTTTATATCATGAAGCAGAGGTTCACACTCCAGTCTGAACACCACTGGCCACGAGCTTTGGGCTCTGCTCTCACGGAGAATATTTATTTATATAGCATATTTTATTTTAGATGAACTAGAAACAATGTTTAATTTATAAATTTTTATTTTGAAATGTATGTCAATAACAATTGGCTGGAGCCAGGGCCAATGGTGAAAGTCTTTGCGCGAGGAGACCCCGCCCCATTTTGGAGGTTCTGCCCACTTTTGGAGTTCACGCCCCATTTTGGAGATCTCCGGTCTGCAGTTATATCTACTTGGACTGGGGAGAGAGGTGATGTAATAATGTAAAATATGTGAAAAATAATGTGTTTTTCGAACAACCTAGTATGAGAGCCAGTTCTAGTACACCCCCAAAACAAAATCAAGACTTTGTAAAAGAGCATAATAGGACT